TGAATGTTAGTTTTACTGATGAGCCTTCACAGTCAAAGGTTGCAGCCTGACACGAGTTGACCAATAAGTATAATATAAGTTTTACATATACTGAGCTACCATTTGATGTGGTTGCAGGTTAGCATAATTCACAACATGTACAACAGTGCTTTTAGAAATACAGAGTAGTGACGCACCAATATGACATTTTTGGACCGATACCAATATCTGATATTAACACCACTGTTATGGCCGATAACCGATATTTGCCGATACCGATATACTGACATTAATGCTTCTAAAATCAGCAGATTTTGTATAGAATGAAAAGTATTAAAGGCTGAATTTACGTTATTATGTACACACACCACACACATTTACAGCTCTGAGATGATTTCATTCTCTGTTCACATGACTAAACAATTACACATCACCCCCTCACCCTCTGAAACAGGCAAGCAAATGGAGACGAGATGGAAAAAAATATCGGTTGTTAATATCGTCCCTTGTGTTCCCTGATCAGATGTGATTTCCTCCGTTGTTCACTCACGAGGGTCTCCCACTGGGCTGGAAGAGAAAGAGCGAAGTTTCTTTTTGTGCTGATGTGATGACTTACAGCGTGAGCTGGATGGAGCTGGAGTTGCTTTCCAGAGGTTCTATGTGTTCGCACATCAGCTGGAGTTGAGCAGAAGAGAGTAGATTTGCTGGGTTTTCAACTCAGCTTTCAGCAGTTCGGTGTCGGATCCGCTCACGTTGATCGGAGCGTGCAGTGAGCGTCCTTTACAGCCAGCTAACTGGGCATAAGAACAGTTAAGTTTCGTTTTCGTCTCCCTTTTATAGAGTCTGGCAGTTCGCGGGCTGAGACTGTTGTGAACCCGTGCTCCGCCTTGGCGGTGACGTCATCACATTGCTTCCGTGTGCAAAGCATCATGGGAAAAGAAGTGTCTTGGCGCTGATGTGATTATTTGCTTTTTCAGAGCAATTTAGCACAGTCTTTTTGGAGAAAATCACTGGACAGTAATTTCCTCATGAGGTCAGACCCTCAACAGAGGAGAACCGCAGCACAAAGTTTCATAAACAACTAGATCAGCTCTGTTTTGTTTTCAAGATTAGACCGCTACAGCGCTAAAGCTACAAATTATTTTATGCTAACATAAAATCTGGTGGATGGTATACATTCCTCCTAAGATAGCTAGACCTTAGATATATTTAACATGAATACATTTTACAGAAAACAGCCCCAACATCATTAGAAAACACTGTTTTTCCATTAAATTGAGTGTCCAGATTCATGATTCTAGTTCTTGTGAGGCACAAAAACCTTTTTATTTTCAGTATAAAAATGCAAACATAGTTTTATGTTGATTGTAATTTGTACTCCTCAAAATAGGCCCAAATTAGGCTTTTTAGTAAAGTCTAAACATAACATTTTAAAGAAATTCTTAGCCAAGAAACTTGAAGGGATAAATTCATCATTCAAGAATTGCTTTTGTGGGCCGCACAGAATAGCTCTGAGGGCCTCCAGTGGACCCAGGGCTGCACTTTGGACCTGCTTCGTCTAAATGCTAAAACAACACCGTACTAAAGGACGCAGAAAACAACACAAATTAACCGTTATTGTTCAGAAAATACTTTTCCTCCTTTGATAGAGACAGCAACATGTAATAAGCTGCTATTGAGCCATGATGTGTACACAGGGATCATGAAGGGATCATTCTCTAGGGTTACTTGTGGAGTTCCACAGGGTTCAGTGCCCAGTTCTGCCCAGTTCAGACCTCTGATATGGGGGTGGTAGGTGCTATAAAAATGCTTCCATTGGTAAAATCATGCAAAAGATAAACTTCCACTGTTATGCTGATGATACTCAATTATATTTATGCATAAACCTTACTGAACCTATGCAGTTATGTTGATCAGTGTCAGCAAAGTTTGGTTTAAAAACAAACTAGTTCAGTTAATAGTTCATAATTACTTTTTAACTATTTTTCTCATTGACAGGAGAAAAACAGTTTGATTGTCCTTCAGTGCAAAATTCAAAGTGTAAAACATTTAATTATATTTAAATTAAGAAACTTCTCAGTTTTTGTGAATGAATTTTCTGACTCTTTGACCCAAAGAATAAGAAAAATTTATAAACCTTGAGTCATAAGGAGTAACAATCAGCCCTAAATCAATGAGAACAATTCTAAGCAAATCAATAAAAACAATTGTTAAATACGATGCAACCCAGTGACTAGTGTTTTCATATTTGAAAATCATTTATCCCAAATGATTCCATACTGGTAAAAACAATTGTAGCTGTGGTGGAAATGTGTATATTTCACAAGATAAAATTGTAAGGGTGAATCTAAAATCAATATGTGCAGTTGTATATTTTCTGAGGTAAAAGGAACACACCACGAGGTCCGTCCTACACAGCGTAGGGATAGAAGAGTAGACGCTGCACCGATTACTACTGCCTATGGCAGCCATGATTGTCGGCTCTACTTTCTATAAAGTCTGTGGTAAACAGAATATTTTTAGCTAAGGTTATAGCTCCGTGGAGATGTGGAGATGAAACGACGAGAGAAAGACATTCATAAAGTCTCGTCTGAAAACTCCCTTTTATATATTAGCTCTCCCCCCATCACTGTTGACCCTGGCTTTTGTATTTTTACTTTTGGTACTGTATGGTTTTACTTTTACTTGTACTTTTCTATTGATTTTTAATCAATTGTATTCTTGTTTATCTATTATGTTGTTTTTACCCTTGCTTTTATGTATTGTTCAGCACCTTGGGCCTCTGATGTGGGGGTGGTAGGTGCAATATAAATTAATCTGATTGATTGATTGATTGATTGATTGATTGATTGATTGATTGATAAACCCATTTACGCACACCAGAATGAGCACACTTACTTAAACATTCATCAGGCAAAATACGAGCTAGTGCAGTTCACGATCACAAAAAAAAAAAAATCGAACGACTTCATGAACGCTTGTTCAACAGGTACAACACTGAGGTGGATTACATGTCTTTAAGACATAAAAATGTCGATGACTCTAAACATTTTGCATTTAAATCCAGTCAAGACTAAAGTTTTCATCTTCTGACCAGAACCTCTGAAAAGGTAATTGATAAGAGAATCACTTGAGCTGAACGGCATTAACACTGGCACTCCCAACGCTGTCATTTTTATATTTTGATACATAATAACATTAGTTACACAGATCTTACGCTCTCCAGGCATCATTTTTCCTATTTCTGTGTGTCCTTTATTCCCATGTTATTATTTGGTGGTGGTGTCCGTGAGGGCACACAGTGTTGGGTAGCGTTCCTCCTACATCTGCCACAGCGGTAGCTGGGGTTTGAGCGAGTGCGCTTTCCTTCCGGGGAGGTTTGTTACCAGAAGACAAGATGAACGGCTCTCTACAGAGACTTGGCTCTCATCATTCACTTTGAAAAGCCGTTCAAAAGGTTTAGTTCGTTCATGAACGTCACATCACTACCCCCTATAACTGTTCTGTCTCGCGGAGGAGTTCATTTGTGTGCATCTGTGTGAAACACACATAGGAAAAAAAAAAACAACAGAAAGAATGGCTCTCCCCCAGCCGTGACTCGGCTCCCATCGTTCATGTTTATGAGCTGTTCAAAAGAATTGATTCATTCGCGAACTTCACAACTCTACAGTTCATTCTCATCTAACTGGAATAATTAACTGAACCCAGTGAACTGATAAGTAGGTTTAGTTGGAATGTTTACATTGTGAAGTGCCTTGGGATGACTTTTGTTGTGAAATGGTGCTACACACATAAACTGAACTGAATCGAAATTGTTCAACATGGTGGGAAATAGGACCCTGCCACTACACAGATGGGTGTTACACATAAAAATATAAATAATAGTCCTGACAGTCGTCATCATTTGTTTCCTCAGCTAAAGCGTTGCTCTCATTACTCACTTACTGACAATTCATTTCACCTGACAACATTGAGAAAATGTGATTTTAGTTCTCCTTAGGCAAGCCAGCTGCAGGAAAGCAATGTTATTCTTCATTTATTGAAATTCAGTTCAGTTTAATTCAGTTTATGAAAGCTTCCCACCAACAAACAAGAGGCAGACATGTTTCAGTTGCTAAAATAGTTTTATTAACAAGAATGAAATGTAAAAATGGGAAATAAGACAAACAATCAATTACATTTCCTGCTACTGTTGCATTGATAAAATACTGCAGCTGCTTGTTGTTGGGACTAAAACACTCTGAGGCATTACCACAGTGCTGTACTGTCTGTGTTGCTTCCCTGTTAGATTTTGTATTGTTTTTAGAAACTTCCTGGATCCCCTCAAAGCCTAAATCTGGCCTAAAAAAATCATAGATTTGTTGACATGTAACTTTTGTCTTTGCCTTCTCTAATTTCCCTCTGGGATTAATAAAGTATTATTGAAATGAATTCTCAGGTCACTGCTTGGACTTTTAGACCTCCTATTTTAGCATCTCTGTCACATAAAATCTATATTCATCTTAAAAACCAACCAAAAACCTTTTCTCAGCTTTAGACATTGTCAACCAGATGGGGTCACAATCCTGTACAAAACAGAAAAATAGCTGTTTTGTCAGTTTTACATTTATTGAGCAACATTTTTGGAGACATAACATGAAAAACCCACTTTTTTATCCATTAACACAGTGTGTTTCACATTTTAAGTGTCTAAGTGAGCAAAAAGGCTTATATTATTCACTGGAGTTGCTATTTAGATATTTAATAATTAAGTTTTGGGCATATTTGTCCACCCGTTCAGTTTTTCACATTATCTATTACATCAGTAATTTATTTCGTCAGGATAACTACCAAATATGGTAATGGCCCTCGGCTAAACACAGAGCCAATCCGCCATTTTTTCTTCTCGCTAAGATTTTTTGTAGTCCTATTGGAAAAATGCAGAATGTCTGGTTATTTTAGCCACACACAGCTCAAAACTGTTCCTCGTTTTAAGGAAGGATGGTGTGGCAGTATTTAAACCCAGGAGCTGATGACACTACTGCTAAAAAAACACAGAAGAAAAAGTAGTGTGTTTGCGTTTGTTTGTTTGTGTGTGTGTGTGTGTGCGTGCGTGCGTGCGTGCGCGCGTGGTTCGTTCGTTCTGTCTCCAGGCTAGTGGCTAAGTACTGAGGGCTTCATCTGTCTAAAAGGAGTCATTTCCATCTGAATTTGGCAGCACCGGGACACAGCAGCAGAGCGGTAAGCTTCATATCACTCTAAAATATCGACAAACTTTACTTTAGATTTACGGGCATTAGCAGCACTAAAACGTTAGCATCCGGCTTGCTATCGCTAGCACAGTATGCTAGTAAAGTTAGCACCCAGATTAATGTGGATTTGGCTGATTTTCGTGGAATAAAACGTGATTTCTGATCAACGCCTTCTTTTACACCAGATGATAACCTCCCACTGATTGTAACAGCAGAGAGCCTGTGTGTTATTCTACGTGAGTGTGATGTAATCTTAGCATCCAGTAAATAAAGTCCCATATCAGCTAAAATGCAGCGTGACAAAGTCATTAAAGTGCGTCAACACAGTGGATTTAATACAAGTTTTAAAGAACGATCTCTGAGTGAAGTGAGCTTAGTTTTTTGTCTCACTGCAGATATAAAAACTAACTCTGCATCAGTCAGACGCAGCAAAGCTCACCGTCTGTATGAGCGTGAGCGTCAGAAAGCTGATAAAATTGGCTGTAAAATAATTAAAACAAAGTAAAAATGTTCCTTTGCTTTTTAGAGTCCACATCCAGAAGACTGGAGCCGTGTTTCACTGACAGGCTGTCAGACTAAAGCCCTGATGAGCTCAGCAGGGACAAACTGGTCTGATGTTTAGGTAAGTGAAGATCTGCTTCTCCAAGTCCTTGAGATGCTAGTAAAAAATAATTTAGCCAGCTTGCAAATGTTACTTTTCTTCTCCTCTAAGGAACACAGAACGTTCAGATGTTGGCGTTTCACGTCACCTACTGAGGAAGGAGACCCACCAGTAAAGAGATGGTAGCTGGACCAGACCAAAGTGAGTGATGACACACCTCAGCCACCCTCATCATTAAGAACACCTCACCCCCTGAATCACTCCGTCTGATGACAGCAGAGTGATTTATTTGATGTTTTACTTGTTTAGTCTGTTTAGAAATGATTGAATTACATTATTTTCTGTAATCGACCATCTGATCTGGATGTGTGCAGAATAACTTTCCCCAAATTCAGCAGCAGCTGGCCTACAAAAACAGCTGCAGCATGTAGTAAGTCTGTCTGCACTGCTCTCTAATGAGCTTCCTTTCATAAGGAATCATTTGTATAATTTTAGTGTCACTATTACATTTGTAAGAATATGAAGTCACTGCAACAAAGTGAACTTGTGAACAAACACAAACGTGACTATAAACATGAAAGCTAAAGAAACAACTTTCCTAAAGCTGCTTGTAAACAAAATATGTCATTAAAGTTATTGTCTATCATTGCAGAATATGGCGATGACATCATGGAACTGGTCTTTGGAAAAGTTTTCCCTGAACCAACTCCGTTTCTAGATGAGGTAGAGAAGATCTGCATCTCACCAACTCTCTGGTCTCAGTATTCAGACAACGGAGGTCTCCCACTGTTATCCAGGACCAGTTTGAAGCCCACATACTGCCCCTCCCTCATCATCAGGAAACATCAATCCGTATCCTGAGGACAACAGAAGACGGCAGGAGGACAGGAACTCTGAGACCTAGATACCACAGCACCGAGACACAAAGCACCTGTGTGCACAACGCCTGTTTAACTACTAAAGCCTGTTTATTATATTGTTCTACTTATTTGCTGTGAGGTTAATACTTAGAAAATTTGTATATTAATGTAAAAAATAAAAAAAATCACTGATTGTATGCTTTCTTTTAGATGTAATGGTCCAAACTCAGCCTTGTAGACATTTATTGCATCCTGTAGGTAAATACACAGAACAGGCTCAGATCCAGGATGACCCAGCATGCTCTTCTTCCATTCTGGCTGTTAGGGATTTTATCAATAACTCAATGCCTACTGATGTTTTCACCTAACGGTATTTATTTAGAATGCAGGTAAGATTTAACTATATTTGTTAGCAAAGCAGACTGATCTTGGGAATTTCACTGCAGCACTGATGTCCACCTCTGTACACATTAGAGAGAATTACCACTTTACAGCTAAACACATTTAATAAAGATATAGGCTACGCATTGCAGACAATAAAAACAAAGTTGTAAGCATTAGAATTATAATGATGACATTAAAGAACACTTGGAGGAATGTTCTTTATTTTTGACTAGAATCTCAAATCTTTAAATTAAAATGTAACTGCTTTTTATCCATTTTCAGCCATTAAGACACCCAATATAAAATAAGACTACTTATAAAATTATTTATAATTATATGTATGTATATAGATAGAGATCTTAATAAAATATATTCTTTTAATGGTGTTTTAATGAGCTGTATCATTTTTTTAAACATTTTTTTACAGAAATAAGCAAGCAGCATTCCTTGTGTGTGTGTGTGTGTGTGTGTGCGCGCGCGTGTGCCTGCTCGCTTGTCCCTCCGTCGGCCGTGACGGGTGTGTGTGTGTGTGCGCGCGCGTGTGCCTGCTCGCTTGTCCCTCCGTCGGCCGTGACGGGTGTGTGTGAGTGACTACAGACACATGCATGAGAGAGTTAGCAGCCATGAAACAGCTTGATGAACTACTCTCCCCACGTGTTTTAAAAATGCTAATATGCTATGCTAAATCTGCTATGCTAAATAATGATTTCTCTATAGAACTACAAAGTCCAACTGGGGGAGGAGAGTACAGGTCTGCACTATGGAGGGGGGGCGGAGTTTACAGCTCCTCCTCCAGTTTAAAGAGACAGTACCCAAAAACGGCTCGTTCTCAAGACTCTCCTCAGAACAGGGGTAGATGAGGGTCTGTAGAGCAACAATAATGAGGAAATCAGACCAAAGAACTGCAGTTCCACTGTATTTAGACCCCAACTGAAGGATTTAGATGTAAAAAGGAATAACTTAAAAGCATGTTATGTCTCCTTTAACTATTATTAAAACATTTTTAAAAGAGAGCTGAGTCGGAAGGCAAAGCTCTAGATTTACTGGTTGATCTACGTTCTTACCCTCACTTATGGTCACCAGCTTTGGGTAGTGACCGGAAGAATGAGATCACGGATACAAGCGGCCGGAAAGAGTTTTCTCTGCAGGGCTCTCCCTGGGAGAAAGGGCGAGAAGCTCAGTCATCCGAGAGGGGCTTGGAGTAGATCTGCTGCTCCTCCACATAAAGAGGAGCCAGTTGAGGTGGCTTGGGCATCTGCTTAGGATTTCTCCTGGATGCCTCCCTTGTGAGGTTTTCCGGGCACGTCCAACTAGGAAACTTAAAGGAAGACTCAGGACACGCTGGAGGGACTATGTTGCTAGACCAGCCAGGGAACACCTTAGGATTCCCTCAGAGGAGCTGGCCCATGTGGCCGGGGAGAGGGAAGTCTGGGCCTCTTAAGCTACTGCCCCAGCATCCCAAACCCGGATAAGCGGCCAAAAATTGATGGATGACATTTTAAACTCAATGTAAGAACATTTTGAAATGGTCCTCATAGAAAATAACCACAGTGTGTAAGTCTACAAGTACTTATAATTTGGATTTGACTTGATTAAAGATGTTCATCACTGGTGATGGATTTTAACCAAGACTAAAATGGCAGTACTAAGATAAATGTAACAGATTTTAGGCTTAAATCTTATGTGATTGTAGAATCATTTACGACACATCTTGTTTCTAACTGGGGCGACGGTGGCACAGGAGTTAAGTGCTCGCCCCGTAATCGGAAGGTTGCAGGTTCGAGCCCCGCTCAGTCTGTCGCTGTCGTTGTGTCCTTGGGCAAGACACTTAACCCACGTTGCCTGCTGGTGGTGGTCGGAGGGACTGGTGGCGCCAGTGCTCGGCAGCCTCGCCTCTGTCAGTGCGCCCCAGGGCAGCTGTGGCTACATTGTAGCTCATCCCCACCAGTGTGTGAATGTGTGTGTGAATGGGTGAATGACTGATTGTGTTGTAAAGCGCCTTGGGGGGTTTCAAGAACTCTAGAAGGCGCTATATCAAATACAGGCCATTTCTAACACATCACATGAGACCATCTGTGATGTTGCACACATTTTGGTTGGAAGAACTGCGATGGCCACAACTCCACCATTTATAAATATGATACTATCTAATTTGAAACTAGGGTAGAAAGCTGAAAGAAATTGTAGGTCTTTGATATTTTTTAGTTATGTTGTGGTTGTGGAAGTATTTTTTTTAAACCTAATCAATTTAGACCCCGTTATACTGAAGTTCGGGCCCGGATGTAGGCATGGGCAAGGAGGGGCAATACCCCCCTAAAAAAAGGGACTACCACCCCCCCCCACCCCCCACCCCCTCAATGCGATGACATGTAGAAATCCCAAATTTAAAAAGATCTGATGAAAAGAGGTCAGAGTTCTCTCTCTCTCTCTCTCTCTCTCTCTCTCTCTCTCTCTCTCTCTCTCTCTCTCTCTCTCTCTCTCTCTCTCTCTCTCTCTCTCTCTCTCTTTCAAAGTAGCTGCTGATTGGTAGATGCATAGGGAGGGTGTGGCCAGCCACTGCACTTGGTTCTCTGTCATGTCACTTGCTTCACACGCTCCCAGACAGTCAGCAGCAGAACAGAGACACACCGTTGTTATCTTAGCTGAGCCACTGGTTGACATTTTCTTCTGCTGTCGGTCACTGGAATGATTTGGTACTCTTTCTCAAGGTTTTAGTTTGCCTCGTTCTCTTCATTCATTTGTGTTTGAAGTGAACCGAGTTGATATGCACAGGTTTCTGGTTTCTAAACCTAGCTACAGTGCTTAGGCACTAGCGGCAGAAGCTGGCTCGTCGGGTGCTGCTTCTCAACTCGCCACAACCAGTTGCACAAGCACCGCAGCCCCCCCTGCTGTCCCCGTCGCTACCAACACAGCCATCGCTGTGGGTGACGCAGGCCTGAACAGTAGCGCACCGTCCCAACCCACCGCTCTTGTTTTCCCCAAGCGCCATTTTGGGAAGAACATGTGCTCATTTTGTTCTGCCTGGTATCGCGGGAGACCATGGCTGGAATAGTCAGTAAAGCTGGATGCGTACTTTTGTTTCCCATGTCGTAAGTTTGGAGGGAACAATGATAGGGATTTGGTTTTCACAAAACAAGGACTTATGTTTATGTTTATGTATTTAGCAGACACTTTTGTCCTAAGCGACTTACAAGTGATAATCAGCATGTTGCCCTTGAGGCTAACAACAACAATAATAACAACAACTTGACATCAGTCATGGAGAGGAGGGAACAAGGAGTGGACAGTAGAGGGGGGACGGATGCAGGGAAGGTGCTAGTTAAGAAGATGCTCTCCGTAGAGCAGGGTCTTCAGGAGTTTCTTGAAAATTGAAAAGGAAGCCGCAGTTCTGGTAGTGCTTGGAAGGTCATTCCACATTTGTGGAACGATGCATGAAAAGAGTCTGGGTTGTCCTGAACGTGGTGTAGGTACTGCTAGCCGACGATCCTGTGATGACCGGAGCGGCCGGGCCGAGACGTACGCCTTTGCAAGAGGATTCAGGTAGATGGGAGCCGTACCATCTCGGACTTTGTATGCTAGTGTTAGCAATTTGAATTTGATGCGTGCTGCTAGCGGTAGCCAGTGGAGCTCAATGAACAGAGGGGTGACGTGTGCTCTTTTTGGCTGATTGAAGACCAGACGCACTGCTGTGTTCTGGACCATTTGAAGAGGTCTCACAGTCCAGCCTGGAAGACCAGTTAGAAGGGCGTTACAGTAATCGAGGCGGGAGATGACAGTAGATTGCACCAGGAGCTGGGTGGCATGTTGTGTTGGGTATGGTCTGATCTTTTGTATGTTATACAGCGCAAAGCGGCATGAACGAGCAACAGAGGCAACATGATCTTTAAAGGTCATCAATCACAACAGCCAGATTTCGAACTGCCTTTGAAGGAGCCAGAGATAGGAAGTCATTTTGGATTGAGATATTGTGCTGTATGGATGGTTTTGCTGGGATGACAAGTAGTTCAGTTTTAGAGAGGTTGAGTATGAGATGGTAGGATTTCATTCATTTTGATGTCAGAGAGACGGTTTGATATTCGTGCCGAGACAGTGTGGTCATCCGGTGAAGATGACAGATAGAGCTGGGTGTCATCTGCATAGCAGTGGTAGGAGAAGCCATGTGGTCGAATGATCGAATTTAATAATTGGAAACAGCACTGGAAAAGGACACGGGACTCACAAAGCATGCATCAAGTCAATGCCACATAAAAAAATGAAAAAGCTGGTCTGAAATGTCCCAAAGAGAGGCCACAGGGGAAACAACAGGTAATTTAATAAGTCCCACACAAATCGAGGAAAACAGATACTACGTAAAAACTATTGGATAAGTAGTTCAGTTCCTAGCAGTAAATGAACTCGTGTGGAAAGCTCCAGTGGTAATGATTTCTCTGCAGGACTGTTCTTAAAAATGGTTGACTACACACTGGCCAAAGACTCCAAATTTAATGAAATAAACAAACGCATCCCAGAAAATGCTAAACACACATCTCACAACATACAAAACAAATTATTGCAACACTGGCAAACATGGTATTAAAAAAAAATCAAAGATAATTATGACAAAGCTGATTGTGCTGGGTTTTGCATTAAAAGTGATGGAACTAGGGACAGATGTGGAGAATCAGTCAGTCATGGTTAGATTTGTCTGTAATGGCATCCAGAGGAACATCTGATCGGTCCGCTTGACCTCAGTCAGTTAAACGCTGAATTTATTACCACCCAAACCCTTGAGCAGCTCTCTGACTCAGTGCTATAGTGCAGCTGAAATGATCAGTCAGTGCTCTGATGGAGCTTCTGTCATGAGTGGGCTCAGGGGTGGGGTTCAGGCCTTACTGCAGAAGAAGGTAGGGAAGGATATTCCCTACATCCACTGCTACAACCACCAGCTGCACTTGGCAGTGGTCCATGCAATGCAGGCAGAGCCATGTGCAAAAACCTTTTTTCATCTTTCAGGATCTCTACACTCATTTTTCCACCGTCATTATGGATCACAGAACTATGACGTTCCCTCCCTGAAACGACTGTTGGAGATCAGGTGGACAAGCCACCATGATGTGACCAAGTGCCTTGTGGAGAATCAGGATGCTATTATGAGTATCCTGTCAGAGGTTACAGAGGACAGAGCTGCTGCTGCTGGTATCTGTACAGAGGCATCAGGACTGCTGATGATGTTAAGGAGGCACAATTTCTTTGAAATAGGAAAATCCCTCCTAAAAGTTCTGGGTTCCTTGAAGTCGGCAAATTCTATGCTGCAGTCTCACTCTGTTGACCAGTGCTGTGCTTCAGAAGTAGTCAGTGCATCTCTGCAGGCTTTGAAGCAGATGAGAGAGGAGGAAGGTGAGGCATTAACCAGCACACCTGC